GCAATCAGGTTGTCATAATTTGCCTGGGACATAAATTAAAGAATTGCTTCACGACCTGGATCAGAAATCAGTGACTTTTTTTTTTCATGCTTTTTTCCTCCATGGACACTGCCGCCATCAAAAAATCTTTGTGTTCTCTGAGCCTCGTTTTTTCTCACTAGTAAATGATGTGTTTGGTGCAGATCATGGCTTACTTCCCTTTTGTTTTAAGGAACACTAAATAATACGAAATAAGTTAATTTTGTCGAAAGCAATTTCCTGAGAATGTTTAAGGTGGCCATTCCCCAATCTCCTTGATCATAGTTGCTGAGTTAACTACTTCAAATTCCTTGTGGGGCCTTCCAGAAACTAAATGGGGCCAGAGTGTGAGTCATATGAGGAAACACACCAGCCCCAGCTTTCCTAGGGCCTCAACTTTATCCAAACAAGACATTATCCTAAAAAAGCAGTGTGAGGTCTACCTGATGTATGTCAACTTTAGACACTAGTGCTGCTTACTTTCTAGTGTGTTAGACACCGCAAAGCATCATGGACAATGACACCAGGAGCTCCTTATCTTTCGTTTGCACACAGAACTATTTCTGTAATGGCCTCCACAGTCAGTCAGTGTGTCTGGCCCTTCACACCTATGGATTTCCCAACTGTAAATTCAATCGACTGTGGATAGAAAATACTCTTTTTAAAAATTGTGTGCACATTGGTCATGTATACTGACCCCCGCCAGTCACCATGGCATTAGTCCCTGAACAATGCAGCAGAGCACCCATTTATATAGCAATGTTACTACTATGCTTAGCACATATGTATAAGACACAGCCATATCCTGAACATGGTGGTGCATGCTTGTAATTCAGAACTTGGGAAGTAGAGGCATGAAGACCATAAGTTCAAGGCTAGCCTGGACTACATATGTAGTTTGAGGTCAGCCTGGGTTATGATAAAACCATATCTCAACAACAACAAAAACAACAAAGGACAAAAATAAAAAAGAGCTTGAGAAATCGAGAGAGAGAGAGACAGACAGACAGAGACAGAGAGAGAGAGACAGAGAGAGTCAGAGAGAGAGAGAGAGACAGAGAGAGAAGAGCCATTCATCATATGCAAAGAATCTTTAATAAAAGAGTTGGTAGAGTCTTCACTAGTCAGCGGAACCAGGGTGGTAGCAGTTCTGTTGGCCATAAGGCCCACTTTCTGTGGTTTTAGTAAACCATGGTCAACTGAGGTTGAAATATTAAACAGAAAACATCATGAATAAGCAATTCATAGATTTATTTTTGTTTTTTATTTTTGAGGTAATGAGGATAAAACTCAGGGCTTCGTGCAAACTAGATAATTCAATATATTATATATTCAATATATTCAATGCATATATTTCAAATTGTATGTCACTCTGAGCAGCGCGATAAAATTCATGCTGTCCAGCTCCATCAATCCGGGAAAGTGTCTAGTGTTTATGTGCTATATATGCTACTATCCATTTGCCACTTAGTCTCCGTTATGAGATCAGTTGTCACAATACTGCAGAACTTATGTTTAAGTCACCCACATTGCTGGGGTGGTTGGTGCGTACATATATTCTTAGCATTTAGGAACCTGAAGCAGAGGGCTCCAAGTTTATGACTGGGCTAAGCTACACAGCAAGACCCCATCTCAACCAAACCAAACCTAAGGCTGGAGAGTATAGCTTATTGCTAGCTCACTTGCCTGGCATGTACAAGACTCCGGGTTTGATCCCACACACACACACACACACACAAAAGCAATCCACAGATTAAGTAAGCAAATAATAAAAAATTTTATTTTACTTAATAATGGGAACAAAGTGCAAGATTAGCAGCACCAGAGATCAGGGTGCAAAGGCGAGCTGTGTTTTCTCTAGATGAAAGAGTGGAAGTTTATTGTAGCTGCGCTTGGGATTCTATGACAGGTAGAGTTCAGTACTACCCACGACGTTCACAGGGGGCCTTGGGGTTGATCTCCTGTATGTAAGTGGAGACTTCTCTGTTTTACATGTTGGAGACAGACATTGCTGTCAGTGTGGATGCACAGCTCTCACTTCAAAGGGATTAAGAGAGTTGACTCTGGAGCTCAATATAGGTGACTATGACCCAGAAACCGAATCAGATTGTCCCAAATACTATGTTTCACTGTGTAACAGTTTCACAAGTTTTTATGTTAACAAAGAACCTTATAAATCAGGTCTTATTTTTTCTTCTTTACTTTGGTGGAAACATCGGGCAGGCAGGTTACAGCAAAGCAGGAACATCTCTGTCATAGGTCCCAGATGTTATCTATTAATGCTAAAGGTCTGTTCATACATTTCAAAAAGGGTGTTACCTGGCAGTCACAAAGATGCTAGGCCAAACATTGAGCTGGGGAATGAATGGCAATATAGAGACTAAAGATAACAGAAGATAATTTGACTCCCAACCTGCAACATCTCAGCTCTCCACAATTACTGAGATTCTACTCAGCCAATCAACCTTATCAAATATTTAAATAGTTAAATGATTATTTTTAAATAACTACGGCTTTGTTTCTGGGAACCTCACAGTTCTCTCTACTGATCAAATGTAACATTTTATGTACTGAACTAGCAAGTAATTGTCAAATGTCCCACAGTGCTTGGAAGACTCATTCCTAGAATCTGACTTAAATAAGTAGGCAGGAAAGCAGTCTTCAATGTTGATAAATAGTAGAGCCATTGTGGAAAAAAATCTCTGGATCATTGGAAGCATATCAGTCATTATGCTATGAATTTTGTTTTTCTCCCTCTCTATTTGACATAACATTCACAGGTGACATATAATACCTAAAGTTAAAATACCTAGGAATGTAGGATGGCCTTAAGAAGTGAGGACAATAGATAAAGGAAACACATTTTAATCAACCAAAAGCGTCATATTCTTTTAACTAGGTTGACTGTATTTCCCCTTGTTCCTAGAGTTATCTATACTCCATGGAATATTTTGTTTGACTTTTGGGGCATTTGAAATTACTTATGATCTTTAATTCTAGTTTGGAAAAGTCAATGGACAGTCATACTACAGAAAAAAATTAGATAATGATATAGCAATTTATTAAATTTTCTTTTAACCAAATTGTCCTCAAACTCACAGAGATCCGCCTGCCTCTGCCTCTCGAGTGCTGGGATTAAAGGCGTGTGCCACCAACGCCCGACTAGAACAATTATTTTTTAAAAATACTTTATTGCATTTGCTTACTCAGGATGTGTGTGGGAGAGCACGTGCCATGGCACACAGGTGGAGGTCAGAGGACAGCTTGTAGGAGATGGTCTCCCCTTCAGCCATATGGGCCCCAGGGATCTGCTGGAGTCGTCAGGATTACAGACAAGCCTGACAAGGAGACTGTGGCTACCTTGTGAGTGGAGGCTTTACCCCAACCAGCACACACATAAACTTAATGTTTTTTTTTTTTTTTTTTTTGGTTTTATGAGACAGGGTTTCTCTGTATTGTTTTGGAGGCTGTTGGTCTAGCCCGGCCTTGAACTCACAGAGATCCGCCTGCCTCTGCCTCACGAGTGCTGGAATTAAAGGAGTGTGCCACCACCGCCCGGCTAAACTTAATGTTTGAACACAACATTAAATGGTTCATTCAGTGAAAGGATAGACCATAAAACTCTGGTTTTGTAAGCCAGTTTTGTGATAAGATCACTCAGGGTTCTTTTCAATCTCAAAATGTTGAATTTCAACATTACAAGGTTTATGACCTTTTATTACAGTCAATTTAATCATAGCTGTGATGTCATCTTTCTTTAAGCTTTAGCTTTTAATGCCCTTTTATGATACACTTTGACCCTTTAGCTTGTCCCTTTTCTGTTTTCTTTTGGAATAATTCTTTACCTCTGGACACAGTTTCAAATCTTTTCATTGCATGTGTATGTGATGCCCATATGTGTGTGTATAAGTATGTGTGTGTTTACATATGTATACATGATATGTGTGAGGTCTGTGGTGGTTTCAATAGGTATGGTCCCCATAGACCCATGTGTTTGAATGTTTGGCCAAAGGGAGTGGTGCTCTTAGGAGGTGTGGCCTTGTTGGAGGAAGTGTGTCACTGTAGGAGTGAGCTTTGAGGTCTCCTATGCTCAAGCTATGGCCAGTGTGGGACAGTTCACTTCCTGTTGCTTGTGAATTATGATGTAGAACTCTCAGTTACCTCTCCAGCACCTTCTCTGCCTGTATGGTGCCTTGCTTCCCACCGTGATGATAATGGACTAAATCTCCAATGAAATGTGTTTCTTTATAAGATTTACCCTGGTCATTGTATCTCTTCAAAGCAATAGAAGCCCTAACTAAACAAAGTAAGAAGTGATCTTGGTTTTCTCTTCCCAGCAGGAGGATTCTGGGCACCAGGTTTAGTGGCAAGCATCTTTGCCTGAGTCTTCTTGCTGGCCCTACTTTAGGGTAAAATCTTATTTTACAAAATCCTTTCTCATCTGAAAACATAACCTTCTTTAACCTTCTCCAAAAATATATTTCATTTTATATATTTTATATGTATAATTTAATTTAGCTCTCTTCTTTTTTTTTTAAGAAAAATTTTTCTTTATTTTTTGGTTTTTTGAGACAGGGTTTCTCTGTGTAGTCCTGGCCATCCTGAAGCTTGCTCTGTAAAGCAAGCTGTCCTTGACCTGAGAGATGAGCCTGCCTCTGCCTCCTGAGTGCTGGGATTAAAGGTGTGTACCACCACCCCTTGGCAAATATTTCTTTCTTAATAAAATAATTATATTTCAAATGAAAACCCCAAGATGTCAAATATGAAACACAGAAAATATGTATATCATATTGAATATCCAACAGTTATAAAATGCAGGTAAAATGTTAATAGTACTATCTTTTCTTAATAAATTTAAGTATTTGTTAAAATATTCCCTAAGCCGAACTGCATTCTCACTCTGTCTGAAAGTGCCTCTATTGCCCCAATGCAGTAAGTGACCACAGACTTCTATTGCTTAAGTCTGCCTGCTTTCCTGACCTCTATTTCTGAAAGTGTGACTTTTCCTTCTGTCTTATCCAGCTTCCCACTCTGGAAGCTTTCCTGCCCTGTTGCTTTTCAAACCCCAGTAAAGCCTTCATCACCTCGAGCGGGCATCTGCAGAACCTGCCAGGTGCTTCATTCACTAGCATCTCTTTCACCACATCCAGTAGAGGCCCCAAGATAAGGACCGGCCGCAGAGAGGGACAGTCCACCTTCTGGACCCGCTGATAGGCCAGGCTCACCGAATCTTCAAAGAGCAGAATGGAGTCATTGGAAAAGGTATCCAGAGCGAGCAGGTCCTTGCCATCTTTGGACCCACTGCGTTTGTGTTTATGTTTCCTTCTGAAGAAGGACCGACGTGCAGCTGCCGACAGTGTTTTTGCTGTGTTGTCATCTTTGACCTCAGACATACTGAGCCTCCTTGAGAACTCTTGGTCCATCACATATTTGCTGGGAATCTGCCCACGCTGGATCTTCTGGGCATTCTCATCCAGCTGCCAAGCCATCCAGGACCCAAACATTCCCTGGGGCAATGTGTCATCCACATACAGGATGTCATCTTTCTTAAAACTCAGTTCAGGCTCCACTTCTGCCAGACGGTCATATAGGGCCCTGATATAGAAGCTGTCACCAGGCAGGCCCTGGACTCTGTTGAACTCCTCCTGGCGGTACTGCACCTTCAGGCGAATATTGTCCTTAGGCTTCAGCATCTCCACATAGACATCCTCCACTGTCCTGCTGCGCACATCCAGGTTGCCATACTCAAGGATGAGGTCCCCTGGCACAAGGCCATCAGGACCCTTGGCAGGACTGTCATCTTCCACCTCAGCCACAAACACTCCGTGTAGGTTCCCACCACACAAGTGCACCCCCAGATCCAACTGGGATTTCTTGACGGGGCGTCAAAGACTGCCTGTTTGTGGACTACAAGCGGAGGAGTGGCCATTTTGATGTTACCACCGTGGCTTCAATAAAGGAGATCACAGAAAAGAACCGGCACTGTCTTCTGGACATCGGCCCGCATGCCATTGAGAGGCTGCATCATATGCACATCTACCCCATTGTCATCTTCATCCGCTACAAGAGCGCCAAGCACATCAAAGAGCAGAGAGACCCTGTCTACTTGAGGGACAAGGTGACGCAGAGGCATTCCAAAGAGCAATTTGAGACGGCACAGAAGATCGATCAAGAGTACAGCAGGTACTTCACAGGGGTTGTCCAAGGTGGAGCCCTGTCGGGCATTTGCGCTCAGATCCTGGCAATGGTCAATCAAGAACAAAGTAAAGTCCTGCGGATCCCTGCTTGCCCACCGTAGCAGAAAACTGTGCCAGAGGCGCCTCCATGACCAGAGGACAGCTGGATGGCTCTTTCCTAGCCCCAGAGAGGTCTGTCTATGGACCTGGAACCAGGACTGCACGAACACCTCCTTTGTAGACGGAGAGCCCCCAAAATTTGGGCCCAGCTGGTGGATGGCACTATTCACACGTCCACTTTGAAACATAAAAGCAAACACAAAAGACTTGATCCTCCCAGAGGCGCTGTGCCCAGGGCCTTGCTGGTCACAAGTTTACAAGCCTTTTCTAAGTATTTGGTTGTTTATGTTTACTTGAATGGCTCCATGTTGGTGCCAAGCCCCTGATCCCAATCCCTCTGTCACTCCCTGTTGGTTTGATGTTCCTGTCTTGGGCAGGACAGTTCTGGAACCTCATTGGGGGTGGGGTGGTGTTGTTTTGTTTTAGGAAGTTTCTGTCAGTGGGACCAGAGCTTTGACAGACTTCCTGCTCCTCAGTGGTCCCTCTCCTGGAAGACATCACCACTGCAGGTGCTCAGAGCACTTGTTGGTACCAGAACCAGCGCCCTGGTGGGGCCAACTTGCCATGGCAGCGCTTTCCTCCAGTACACGGAAGGCAGCTTTGCATTCTTGCAGCTTCTCCTCCTGGCCTTCCTACTCGCCCCCTGGCCCCTTGTTTCTTCTCCAGCTGCATTTCTATTTAAACATCACGTCTAGTCCACCAGAGCCTCGAGCTTCCTCAGTGATGCAGTTGGGTCCTCAGCATGGGGCATGGGCATGCCATTTCTTCCTGTAGGCTTGGAGATGCCGGGAAGCCTTTGCCAGTACAAGGTGGCAGGGTAACCCTTACACTGGCACAGATGTACCAGCTCTTTCTGGCTTGAAGCTACTCATCTATTGAAAACCCAAGAAGAAAAGACGTTTTCTCAACATTCTTAGCCCGACTCCACGAAGACATCTCCATTGTTGGGTCGTCCCCGTGTCCCCGTGTCCCCGTCCCCCGGTCCCCCCGTCCCCCCCCCGCCTTCTGATGCCAGATCTGTTTTGGTAAAGAGCTGATGCGGTCCCTTCATCAACTGTGTGTCCTATTAATAGGTACTGTACTGGGTTCTGTGTGTCACTGGGGTAGGACCTATATTTTAATACTGTTCCTAACATTTCATTTTATTAGCAAGAAATCTTTAATTTCATTTTATTCTTTGTAATTCTAGACATTAGATTGTAGTTTAGCCATTTTTTAAAGGGATGTATTTTCTTGCACAGCTGTTTAAACGAGAGCGAGAGTCGCAGCCCTCCAGGCTGTCCTGTGCCTTACAGGCACACATTTTCTAGCTCAGACAACTGACAGACGCTGCTGACCACTCTCAAGGTCTTACTTGCACAGTTGTGGGACAAGGACTATTTTCCTGGTCATAGGGCCCAGGCAGGTATGGATCTGACAGGTGGGATACGCTGTACTAAAATGTTACTTTGTATCAAAAATAAAACAGACTTGAGTACAACAACAACAAAAACAACAAAAAAAAAAACAACAACAACAAAAACAAACCCCAGTAAAACTGTCCACTTTGCCTCTGAAGCCATTTTTAAATCCTCTTACCTTCTAGGCCTCATGTTGGCTGGTAACACACAATGGAGGATCATCACAGTAATCACCTACTGTGGCAGATGAGACACATCTTACAGAACTAGCAAGTGGTCTATTGATAACACTAATCAGAGCATCAGGGCAGGGGAAGTTTCTTCATGCCCCATTGTAGGTTCACAAACAAGAGAGAAGGGAAGATCTCAAGTAGAAAAGGCAAAATCTTAGAAGACCCAGAAGCTGTGAGGAGCAGTTGATGGGCAATTTCCCAGTCTAGGTCACCCTACATCCTGCTTCTGTAACACCAGGCCAAGGAGGAGCAGACACCAAGAGAGGCTGCAATCGAGCTGCTCTTCCAGGAAAGGAGGAGGGAAGAGAAAGAACTCATCATAATCCTTTCTCCAAATACCAAAAGGCCACTGCCACTCAGAGTACCATGTGGTCGACCTGGACTGGAACTTAGTGGAAACTTAAACAAGCCAAGACCAGACCACAGATACACGCCTACAAAAAGTTAATCAGAACACAGCAACCAGGTAAATAAAAGCCTGGGTGTGGTTCCACCAGGACCTCAGAAGCTGAAATCTGTATGGCTTTGGAAAACAGCTGTGAGGATGGCAACAGTTTGGAGAAGCACTGCATGCTAGAGAATGAGAATCTTGGCTCCCTGGACAAGGACAACGGGTGCTGGGAAACTCCTGTAGCAGGGTCAAGGCCTGTCATGGCAAGGCAGAGTCACCCTTAAGATTCTGCACACTGACCAATCTGGTCTAACGAGTTTGATCTGGAGCCCGGCAGCAGGTCTCTCTCATGAGCAGTTTGCTCCCTGAGACATTTCAGAGAGAGTAGAGATCCAATGCACTTCCCAAAAAGCAAGAACTATTGGCTGATACACACACACACACACAGACACACATACACACACACACACACACACAATAAAACCTCCCCATGTTCACTTATATGTATATACATACATACACACATATACATAAGTATATACATATACACATGTATGTATGCATGCTTGTGTAACTTTGAATTTTAAATTTTATTCATTGGTGCATGAATATTTAATTCGTTTTACGTTGCTTGACAATGTCTTAGAACTGTGCCATCTATATCTGCAATTGTCTGGTTACACTCACTCGGTTTCTAACTCCAACAAACCACAAACTTTCCGTCTCACTCATACCTCATTTTCTCTTTGTCTCATTTTCCATCCTCTTTTTATCTCTTTAAAATGGGAGACGTTCAGTGATCCTTTGCTTATCACTGTTTTCCACTTACACAGTTAGTGTGCTAATGTATGCCAGGGGGCATAGTAAAGAAACTGTCCGTTATTAGGGTGAAGGCTTTTTATTGTGACCAAGAAAAAGAAAATATCCAGAGGCATCTGGAAAGGTCCAGAGCAGAGAGAAAGGGAAGCAGACTGGACATGATCAGAGCTGGGGAAGCCAGAGAGTGAGAGAGGAGAGTGGAGGTAGTAAGAGATAGTTCAGTGATTTTTCAACCTGTGGATCGACACCCTTGAGGGATTCAAATGTCCCTTTCACAGGGCTCACCTAAGGCCATCGGAAAACACAGATACTTATATTAAGTATCAAAATTACAGTTATGAAGTAGCAATGAAAATAGTTTTACGGTTGGGAGGTTACCGCAACTTGAGGAACTATGTTAAGGGTCTCAGCACTGGGAAGGTTGAGAACCACTGAGATACAGCATAGCGAGAGCGTGAGCCAGAGCACAGAGAGCCAGAGTAGCGATGGAGCACGCAGCCTGCGAGAGAGCCCTGGTGGACAAATCATGTGCACTATAAGGAGGGTGAGTAGCTGTGGAGCGACTCCTGGAAAACTCATTTCACAAGTTCCTTCTAGAGTCCAACTTGAGATCATTTCTAGAAGTATGGAGGGCCTGAGAACTCACAGTTAACAGAAATGGAACACTGGTCAGGTCTGAAGGGGAATTTCAAACAAAATACACAACATCCCAGCCTACAGAGCCTCAGAGGACACATCAGAGGACAGAGAACTTTGCCTAGTGTAAGAATCATCCATTCATCACCCTATGGAAACTCTTGAGACATTTTTCCTTTTTGAAAATAAGAAATGCTTTTTCTATTTATCTCCCCCAGTTTGTTGGGGAATCAGATTCCCTTTAGGGGATTTTAGTCTTGCTAATAAGAGAATTTAAGAACAGCCTTGGAATAAAGCTCAAGGATAATTTCATTAGAGTTCGAAAGAAACCCGACAAAGCAGGTAGGCCGTTATTTGACAGCTACCAGGAGGTAGAATGAGGGAGAAGACAAAAGCCTTTTTGAGTTAGGGTCAAGAGAACCGGAATGTTCAGCAATGGAGGTGAGCAGCAGCTGCATCTCAGGAAGAGAGAGGAACCGCAGAGAAAGAATGAGAAAGCCCAGGATGGCCGGGAAAGCATGCTTATGCTTTATTTTCTTCTTCCTTTTGTGTGCAGGTATTCTGAGCATGTCTGGTTCCTGAGGAGGACAGAAGAGGGCATCAGATCCCCTGGGACTGGAGTGACTGATGGCTGTGAGCTGCCCTGTTGGGAAGAGCAATCGATGCTTTTAACAGTTGAGCCATCTCTCCACCCCCACAGGCTGAGGGAAAAGAAATGATCAGATTTTTCAAAGCGGGCATTCTTAGCGGTGCTGCAGATTGGAAGGCCTGAAGCATCTTCAACGAGGGAGGGGCCTCTGAGAAGGCCCATTGCAGTACTATCTCATTAAGGGGATAATTATTTCTCCCACCTCCTTAGCATGTTTTCAAGGGATTCCAATTTCCCATGGGTTGGTGTATTGACCAGGTGATTGGTAGGTCTTAGGAAGAGACAACAGTATGTCACTTTCTAACCTTTGGAGCAGATCAGAATGTCATTTTTCTACATGGGACCAAGACATAAAACTCAGAATCTATTCTTTTGACCAGTAGGAAGCAGCTTTTCCTTAAAGGACCTCAACAAAGCCCTAATATCTATCTCTTTTACGT